CCTAAGCGCATCAACCCTGTGGCCGCCTCCCTCATCCAGAAGACGCTTCAGACAGATCTCACGGCCCGCCCAACCATTAACGAGCAGCTTAACAATGAGTTATTTACTTCTGGCTACATCCCAGCCCGTCTCCCCATCACCTGCCTGACCATTCCACCGAGGATTTCCGTCGCTCCCAGCAGCCTGGACCCCAGCAACAGAAAGCCCCTCACGGTCCTAAATAAACGCTTGGAGAATATCCTGCCTGAGAGTCCCCGGGAAAAAGAAAAACCAGGGGTTTCAGAGACGGGTGAGGTGGTCGACTGCCACCTCATGACATGCTGCATGCTGCACAGAGTCAATGCATCCAAGCCCTCGGAGGGAGGGCTGGTCAGGCAAGAGGAGGCTGAGGATCTTGCCCGCATCTCCATTTTTCTGGGTCAGCAAGTGGATGGACTATTCAGGCAAGTACGGTCCTGGGTATCAGTTGTGGATAGCAGCGTGGAGGTGCTCTTCAATGGTGGTGACAGCCTGCAGTACCTAAAGTGTGATGGCACCGAGTCCTACTTCACCGTGAATTCCCATCCCAATTCCTTGATGAAGAAGATCTCACTCTTTAAATATGTCCGCAGTTACTTGAGCGAGCACTTGCTGAAGGCAGGTACCAACATCACGCCACGAGAAGGCAATGAGCTTGCCCCGCTGCCCTACCTGCGGACCTGGTTCCGCACCCGCAGCGCCATCATCCTGCACCTCAGCAACCGCAGCGTGCAGATCAACTTCTTCTAGGATCACATCAACCTCATCTTGTGCCTACTGACGGCAGCAGTCACCTACATCGACGAGAAGCGGAACTTCCGCACCTAACCACCTGAGTCTCGTGGAGGAGTAAGGCTGCTGCAAGGAGCTGGCTGCTACGCCCACACTATGGTGGACAAGGTGCTGAGCTCGTGCTCTGGCGGCAACCGCTTCAAGGCCTCCTAATAGCCGCCCATCCCTCCGGACTGATGCCCTTCTCACTCCCACCTGCACCTGGAGCCCACATTGGTTGTCTCCCACAATGCCATGTCTGCAGTGTGCCCCCGAGCCCCGGGGACGGGGCAGATCTGCGTCATCCTTGAGGATGGGGGTTACTGTGTAAGTTATTTTTTGTACATGTTCCGATGTGGGTTCTATAGACTCGTCCCTTCCCCCTCAACCCCACCATATGAATTTCACAGAATATTTTTCTATTGAGTCCGGGACTGTCCTTTCCTTGGCTTTATATACGTTAAACAGATGTGAATCTTCTAAAAGAAGAAGAGGAAGAGGAAGAGGAAGAGGGAGAAGGAGAAGGAGAAGGAGAAGGAGAAGGAGAAGGAGAAGAAGAAGAAGAAGAAGAAGAAGAAGAAGAAGAAGAAGAAGAAGAAGAAGAAGAAGAAGAAGAGGAGGAGGAGGAAGAGGAAGAAGGTTTAGTTTATTTATAATTTAGGCAACTTAGAAGGATAAAATATTAGAGACATTTTATCCTGCTCATGCAGGATATTAGAGGGGAGTTTAAAAAAATCTAAATTGTTTGTAATTACATTAGCCACTGGAAAGTATAGTCTAGTAGTCTTTTCAGTATAGAAATAACCTATTATTTGCCTCAGGGAGATGTGGAAAGTGGAGGTATATCGCCATGACTTGACAGACATCACTGCTCGCTGGATACAGCAGGCCTAATGTAGGTTGCATCTCGTGTTTAACTTTGTCGTGTGTGTGTGTGTGTGTGTGTGTGTGTGTGTGTGTGTGTGTAGTGGAAAAGTCCTCCGGCTCCTAGACTAGATTTTATGGGGAGATGCATGCAAACAGAGAAGTAAATCAGCTGAGAATAATAATCATATACAACTCCCACCTTTGGGTGTCTGATAATGAGCAAAGTAGAAGACTAAGCATCTATAATTCTTCAGAAAGGGGGGATTTGAAAGGGTAATTATATTGTGAGGCAGGGTGAAAAAAATACCATTCTGTAATAAAAAAGGAAACTGGAAATCTTGGAGTAAAACTGAGAAAAAAAATGATAATCAGTGTTAGGTCACTAGGACCTATCTCCGTACTCCTTGTCTAACACTGAAAGGAGCCCCCTTTTTTCTGTTTTTTTTTTTTTTTTTTTTTTTAAGACAGGATCTCACTCTGTCACCCAGGCTAGAGTGCAGTGGCATGATCTCGGCTCAGTGCAGCCTCTCGACCTCAACCTGCTGGGCTCAAGAGATTCTCCCACCTCAGGCCCCTGAGTATCTGGGACTACAGGCGCACATCACCACCCGGTTACTTTTTGTTTGTATTTTTTGTAGAGATGGGATTTCACCATGTTGCCATGCTGGTCTCAAACTCCTGAGCTCAAGTAATCCTCCCACCTCAGCCTCCCAAAGTGTTGGGATTACATGCATGAGCCCACTGCACCTGGCTGCAAAGACACAAGACTTGTTTAAAAATAAAAATAAAAACTTCTTCTAAAGTCTTGAGCAACACTGTTAAGGAGTCCACCCTTGTTTTAGTACAACTGAGGGTTAAGGTAAGAGATGAGGCCGGGATTCTTTTTCTCTAAAATAACAGCCAAGGTCATGCTACTTTTTTAAGAGTTGTTTTGTGTTTGTTATGTAATCTCCAAAAGAGTAAACTGTCTTTATTCCAAAATTGTATAACTCCTGCCCTAGTCGATGTTACCTTAGCATATAGGAATATAAAAGAAATCCGAAGTACCTTTTGAACACTTACTGTTTGATTAAATTTATCCACGAGAGAGGTACTTTTCATCAATAGAATTATCAGTCAACCTCTCTCTTTTGTTAAATAGCCAACTATTGCATGACCTGTTTTTTGATTTATAATTACACAAGCAAAGACCATGGATTTTTGCATTATCTATTTTGCTAAAAAAGAGATAGAAAGGGCCAAAGATCCATGAAGGCCAAATAAAGGATTAAAACTATTAAAACTAGGGTAGGAGTTATTTAAATAGCTACTCTAATATATTTTCTGTTAGTTAAGAAAAACTAAAAGTATATTTAGCAAAAATAAAAATACAATATAAAGACCATAATTAAAATAAACAAGAAAAAAAAAAGAGAAACGTAAAAATTCAGACAAACTAGAACTTGCTAAAATAAACCCAAAAAGTAAAATATAAAAAATTAAACAAAAAATGTTCAAGTGGTTGGCATATACTTAGGACATTCAACAAAAGTGTTAAAAGCTTAAAAGATGCAACAATATAATTAATAAAATAACGCAAAATGGATTTAGTCAAAAGACTTGAAGGAGAAAAACAGACTAAAAAGTAAAAGTTAAATGTAAAATGACAATATTCTAAGAATTAATAACATGGCTTGGTGGCAATGTCTTTATAACAGAAAGCAAATGCACACAGCACAAAATGCTTTACCTATATATTTGCACCAAAAGCCTTAATTGTTTCATTTTTTAATCAATATTTCCAATATTTAGAAAGTGACAATCATCCAATATATAGGTAAAATTTTACTGATTTAAAATATTCATCACATTTATAATAGTAAAATATCAGAAACATTTAGCTATAACAAAAATTTAAATATTATAGAGCTTCCGTAGTCAGCTATTACTATCCTGGGTCCCATCCACTATTGTTAACTCAAGGGTTTTTCTCCTGCAGTTATTCTCTCTGTATCTTGAATCACCAAATTGCTGCTATTAGTATAAAACATACTTTAATATTTTTCACATCTCAAAATATACTTCATCCAGTAAATCACTTATAACCAGAATGTTTACAAACCCTAAAAATCAGTAAGGATAAGAGAGCTAACCAAAAAGAAAAGTTGACAATTGACACATTTTAAAAGATACTACATCTGGTCCAATTGGCCAATAAATATATGATCTCATTGGCCATCAGAAAAATGCAAATAATATATCACAATTGATAAAATGAAATGAAAATGCAACTAAGTTTTAGCAAAAATAGCAACTGAAATGCTTATAAAGTGTTTCAATAAAAAATATTTAGAATACTTTGGCCATAGTTTCTTAATATATGTCTTTTCTATGATCCAACAATTTGATTCCCAGGTGTAAGCCCCATGGAAACTCATACATAAGTCACCAAAATCCATGTACTAGAAGATATATGACTAGTAACTAAGAAATTATTAATAGCACAAAGTGGCACTATGCATAATCATCCAAAATTGTGAACTTTTCAAATTCCCTTCAACACTATAATGGATAAATAAATTATAGTACATATATCCAGACAATAGAAAATTAAATAGCAGTGAGGATGAAAAACCTATAACTACTTGTAACAAAGTGAATAATTCTCTCAGAAAATAATACACGGCAAAGGAAACCGGAAAGAAAAGATTACCTAACCCTCTAGTGTTGGACTGCAGTATGGGATTGCCCTTTTAGGGGTAATTTTTGAGTGCATGGAGCACGAGGGCTTCTGGGGATGTAGTAATGCTCTTTTCTTTGATCTGCAGGCTGTTAAGTTTCTGAAAATTCATCAAGAGTTATATTTAAAATATGTGCACTTTTGTAAGTATATATGCTTAAATTAAAGGTGAAAAAAAAAAAACACTTGACCCCACAGTGCCCTCTAACTACCACATGTGCATCTGGCCTTTTATAATAAGCCTTCTTAAATGAGTGCTCTGTACTTGCTCCATTTACTGTATCCACTTTCTCACACTGTTTTCTTTGTAGATCCCATGTCAATAGGTCTTTTGTGCTGGCTTTTCAACAGTGAGACTTTTCAAGGCTGCCTGAACCAATGGTTAGCTTTCAGCCTTCAACTTAATCAACCTCCCAGCAGCACTTGACATATTGATCTTTCCTTTATTCTTGAAAAAATTTTTTCCTTGGCTTTGTGACACTGCATTATCCCCACTGACCACTCCTTTGTAGTATCTTTTGCTCAATATAACATATAAAATCAGGCAAATAGCATAACCTGAATTCGGAGAACATTACAAACTTCAAATTCACTATAAGTACAAAAAAATTGCCTATTTTCGCAGAGCCATCTCTCAAATTTTGCAGAAAGGTGGGGCTGGCGGTGGATGCTGGAAACACTGCTGAGGAAGAGGGAATGAGAGAAGAGCGAGCCTACAACTGATCTAAAATCCACCCCCTACCCCTGCAAGAAAGGAAGTGTCCACTGTAAGTGTGAAAATACTGAAAAATATTTCTGGTAAATCAGTGCACTGGCTGCAGGGAAGGGATATAATAGTGTGTGGGATGCGTGGTGACTGAATTGAGAGGCAATGCTTCCAAAGAGTAAGAGTACAATAAAAGGAGAGGCATCCTTTGGAGAATGGAAGGAGAAGGGGAAAAGAAGCAAAAGGGAAAATATTGTGATCCTGCTAGAAAAAAAAATAAAATCCAGGACATTCAGTCTCTTCTCACACTAACAAAATAAACAAACTAAATAAGGGGAATCATTAAAGATGTGCAGTCTAAGGCCATACCACCCTGAACGTGCCCGATCTCGTCTGTTCTCGTAAAGATGTGCATTTGCCAACACTGACTTAAAAAGATGCTCTTGATACAAGAAACTTGTAACCAAACCTGCTGGCATTCTGCCCACAAATTGCATAAATGTAAACAGTCTTTATCTACACAGTTACTACAAAAGAAAAACAAAGTGAGAAGCAGACATTTTACCTGATGAAAATTATCTCTCAAGAAACCAACTACAAAGCAGAACAGTCTAACACAATATTTCAAACTAAATTAAACAGCCTCAGACAAGCAATTGTGGATATATATAACAAGAATAAGAAGTTCATATATTAAGGAAGAAATGAAATGAAAGTTGATTGAATTCTAAGAAGAAGCAGAAGGAAGCAGATAAGGGAATGAGAGGGAATGAGGAACAGGGGGCGGGAGAGAGAAGATAACATTTCATCAGCAGTGATGACTAAATTATTAGGAACCCGAGGGAGAATAAAAACTTAATAAGGGACATTGGAGAAAGGTAGGAAATTACCAAGAGAGTGAAAATGAGTTATAATAAGAAATAAAAAGGGTGAGAAGCAAAGTAGCTAAATAAGTAGAAAGGCTAATAGCAAACAAGTCATATATAAAAATAGTATATAAAAAGTCATAATATAAAAATTCCTGGAGTTAAAATAAAGACTTTTTTTTTTTTTTTTTTTTTTTGAGACAGAATCTCACTCTGTCGCCTAGGCTGGAGTGCAGCAGGGAGATCTCTGCTCACTGCAAGCTCCGCCTCCCAGGTTCACACCATTCTCCTGCCTCTGCCTCCCAAGTAGCTGGGACTACAGGCGCCCGCCACCACGCCCGGCTAATTTTTTTGTATTTTTAGGAGAGACTGGGTTTCACCGTGTTAGCCAGGATGGTGTCGATCTCCTGACCTCATGATCCGCCTGCCTCGGCGTCCCAAAGTGCTGTGATTACAGGGGTGAGCCACCGCGCCCAGCGGAGACTCTTTTTAAATATGGAAGACACCTAATAGGTTCCTGAGCACTTTTCTTGAAATGACTATGGAGAAATAAAGTTGGAAGGAATAAGTCACAGTAAACGACATTTCACGAAACTGTTAACACCTACTGGAGAGAGAACCAAAGACTATCCTAGCCCTATTTACTACTGCTAATCTTTGTTATCTGTTTTCTCACACACTAGCACCATTCTAGAATTAATCTGCTTTAGCATTATTTATATTTTCCCAGGATGTGTGTGTGCGTGTGTTTGTGTACCCATCCAGGATCTCCATCTCTCTCCCTTGGTCTTGACATCAAATGACATCAAAGGGACTCCTTTACTTTAAGTTTCCCTGAATGAGTAATGAACCTTTGAATTTCTTGCCCTCACTGGCCTTGGTGAGGTGTGTTTTGACATGGGATGCCCTCAAAGGGGAGAGAACTGGCAAGGGTAGACCTTAGCAATGACCGGTCCCAAGAAGTATGTTAATAAATCTATAAGACTGTAATGATTTAAAAAATCCTTGCCAGGCAAATCCTTTTGACTTATAGGCAAAAGGATCACTAATTTAAAAGGACAAGATAATCAGATTTCTTAAAAGCAACATGAAAAGCAAGACAATAATATAGCAGCATTTTCATGGGAAAAAAAGTGAATCAAATATTTTACATTCAGCAAAACTACTATTTAAGTATTAAGGCTGTGAAGAAAATGATTGTAAACATTCAAGAACCCAGGTTGTACAGTGCTCACAGTTCTTTTTGAAGAATCTAATCTATTAGAGCTTTAAAACCAAGAGATGACTGGAGGGGCGGGGGGATCATCAGCAAAAGACATTGTGATGAGCACTGATTTATTGAAGTGTAGAACTAAGATTATGGCTAAAGTGGGGAAGAAGGTGGAATAATGGCGAACGAGTGTTACTTTTTGTGTTATGTATTTTGATAAAGTAAAAATAATGCACTAAAATAAAGGAAAAAAAGAAAAAGAGGAACATAGAATAAGCTCATTGATTTTTATACAGGCAATAGGCAGGAGTCAAAAGATACTATTAAAAATCAACAAACCTGATAGTAAATGTTTAGATAAGAAACCAAGACACTGAAAGCATTAGAAAGTAAAAAGTAAAAAAGTAATCACTAGAAGAAAATACTAACTATTCTAAACATCAAATTTAATTTAAAATGTAAAAGAACAAAGTAAATATAACTAATGCAGAAGACAAAACAAATATAATACAATACATAATAATTATGCAATTATAATTATATAAAGTTATAGGAACTATAAAATGGGTTATATTAGTCATTTCAATAAATATGAATTGGCTTAACTAAATTATTAAAAGAAAACTTTGAGTTTTGCTAACAAAGAAATATGAAGCTATAATTCTGGACATAAGATAACTAAAAAACATGATTCAAAAGACTAATAGGACAACTCAAGGATGTATCAGTCAAATGCAAACAACAAGAAAGCTGATTTTGTGATCCTGTTAAGCAAAGTCAAGTCAAATAAACAAAAATTAAGTATGACAAAGACACTTTTTATAATGAAAACCACAATTGCTAATAGAAGTAACAACTATGACTATCTACACACCAAATAATATTATACATTGCTACCTTTACAGAGGAGAAACTACAGGAAATTAAAGGAGATGAAAAAAGATGAAAGAAGAGCAGATAGAAAGACAGTAATAAGAGAAGACCTGAATATCATTTACAGTATGACAGATCGAGTGATTAAAATAAAAAGGATATTGAGGACCTAAATAACATAATCAATAAGATAAAGTACATTGTATAAATATAAAACAACCTGTACACCTACTTAACAGAAGATGCACCTTTATTTTCAGTGCACATGGAATGTTAAAAATTGTTTATAAATTCCATGAATGATTTCCTGAGCCATAAGAAAACATCTGTAGTTGGATAATGTAGAAGTATTATGAACAATACTTTCCGACTGCAATGCAATAAAATAGAAAATACTGACACCTCCATAATCTACTTTCACTTAAAAAATGTACATATAAAAGAAAATCTATTTTAAAACCCTTGAAATAATCTCTATGAATGAAGATAATTCAGACTAAAATACAAAATATCTTAACATAATGATAAAAATAGACTACATATTTTATATATTCAAAGCAATGATCAAAAGAAAACTAATAGGTTTAAACCATTATAGCAAAAAAATGTAAAGTATGAAAATAAATGAACTAACTTTTTTCTACTTTCTTTTTCTTTTTTGTTTCCTCTTCCTCCATTGTCTCTTTTTTTCCTTCCAGACTGATTCATTGCAAGCTCTTTAGTGCGGCAGAACAAGGCAGATGACCATTCTACAAAGGGGAGGCAGCCGTGGTGGCCCAGAGTCATTAGTTGAAGCTGCTGGAATGAGGATGACATCTAGAGAGAAGTGAATATTCTCCACCTAAAGCAACCACGGCTCTTTGAAGAAGTGACTGAATCCAAGGCTGGGACATATGGCATTTTTGTGTGGGTGCCAGAAAGCATGAAAGCACCCAAATAATGATGGGGACATGTCAAAAAGGCACAAAAGCCAGTGTACTACAATATAAGCATCACATAACTAATCATAGTAGCATATTTCAGCTCACTTATTAAAAGAGGAAACTATGATTTTATATTGATATAAATAGACCTAAAATGTGTTGAGTAACTGAATTTTACATATTCTCAAAATATCTACCCCTGAAATTATTAATTATAAAAGAATAAGTACCTGTATAATTTGAGTACAGAAAAAATGTTCTAAATAACACTGAAAATATGAGGATAATAAAAGAATAATCTATAAATTTAATCAAATAAAACAAATAATAGAGTACTTTTATATGGCCAGATCACCATAAGCAAAGTTAAAAGACAAATTACAAATTGAAAGAAAAGACTTTGCAGTACATATAGCAGATAAAGAACTAATATTAATAATACAAGGAATATTTAAAACCAGGGGAAGAGAAAAAAGGCAATAGAAATATGAGCAAAAAGATGAAGAATTTACAAAGAAAATATTTAAAATGATCTTTACACATATGTTCACTTTCACTTGTAAAATGAAAAATAAAAAATAACTACCCTGGATCTATTACTCAGCTCTGGAACTGGCAAAAATTAAAGGTTTCACAACCCACTTTTTTGGTCAGGTGTTGGGGAAACACAAGAATAGGAGAAAAGGAGTGAAAGAAGAAGAGAAAGGGAGAAGAGACATTGAGTGAATGATAAATCATATGGGACAAAACGTAACAAATGGTGAAGCTTGGTAAGAAATCTTGGTAAGTGGTGTACAATAGTTATTTGTACCATGCTTGTAATTCTTCTGTGAGTTTGAAATAAAGTATAAAAATAAAATGTTGAAGAAACTAACTTTTAAAACTGAGTAAATTTAACTTATTGAAAATAACATTGGAGAATGAATATGCCATAATTTAAGGTGTTTACAAAGAATATACAATATCAGAATGCAATTTTTTAAACCATGATTACATCTCTATTGGAAAGAAAACAACTAGATTTGAAAAAAAAAAAAAACCTCAAAAATAGAATTGTTGACAGTAATATTTTTGGTGACTTTTTGCCTTTCTCCTTTCCTCCAGTTCCCAAATTGTTATGCATTAGCATGTTCTGTTTTTCCAATGCAAACAGAAAATTTCAGTCAGGAGCGCAGTGGCTCACACCTATAATCCCAGCCCTTTGGGAGGCTGAGGCAGGAGGATCGCCTGAGGCAGGGAGTTTGATGCCAGCCTGAACAACAGAGTGAGACCTCATCTCTACACAAAAACAAACAAACAAAAATTAGGTGTGCTGGTGCAGACATGTGGTCCTAGCTACTTAGGAGGCTGTGGTGGAGGGAGATCACTTGATCCCAGGAGTTCAAGGTTGAACTGTAATGACACCATTGCACTTCAGCTGGGCAACAGAGTGAGACTCTCTCTCTCTAAAAAAAAAATAAGAAAAGAAAATTTCCTTATCAAAAAATTTCAATTAAATTCATATTGATTAAATTTCCTTATAAGAAAAAAAACCCTTGGTGTTTTTATGTTGCCCACTAGCAGTTTACCCTGTTCTGTCATCTTTGGTTTAAGTACGTGCACCTGGAATGGCAGGGAAGGTGATGGACTGAGAGTTCTTTTTCTACACAGCCACAACTGCCATCAGTGTTTTCAAAAGTCTTCTATTTGAATGTGTGTGTGTGTGTGTGTGTGACAGAGAGAGAGAGACAGAGAGAGAGAGAAAGAGAGAGAGAGAGATAAACAGAGGGGTTTCAAACTTGGCCTTCCACAGTCAGATAGAAGAAGTTTCTGAATCCCAGCTCTGCCTAGCACTATACTCACTGTAATTGTAGGTGAATGAGTTAATCTCTAAGCTTCAGTACCACTCCCTATAAACTGAGAATCATGTAAGAACCTGTTTCCTTTGTTTTGAAAATTTGATGATATATTTGATGTGGATCTGGATACTTGGCAGCATTCAATAGATTACACCTTTATTTTGTTAACCTATCTCTTTTAGTAATGCAAAATGTTGTATTTATATAATTCATGTTATATAAATGTATTGAAAACCCATATCCTCTACATATCCAGAGAATAAATAAATAATAAGAGATTTTTTCACCTCACTAAACAGATCCGCAGCAAGATCTTCTTAAATGGTAAACCACTGCAGTAGATTTACTTTTTGTTAATAAGTAAATTCCAAGCCACTTTTTATAAACATATAAATATATATATATATATAAAGAGAACCCAGCAATGAATATTTTTACAGATGAAGAATATACGAATCACATTTGCGTAATGTCATCCCTTCTTAATAATGCTAAGGCAGCTGAACATCTTATGATTTGTATCAGTGCTGTGCCTTCTAGAGTATAATCAGGAGCAGAATGGCAAAGAATATATTTAACTTGCTTCTTTCTTGACACGTATTTGGATGTTCATGTCAACAATCCAACTTGATATTTTCCAAAATTACTCAAAACTAATCTTGCTAGGCAAGGATGCAATACAGAGAAAAAAAAAAATGTGTGTTTTTTTGGTGCTGCTATCTGCTTCTACTGTGAGCTCTGGAAGGCACAATCACATTCTTTTCATTAGGGAGGTATGGACCAGGCTGTTCCAAGTTAGAGGCAGGAGCATAACCACCCTGTGGTTCAGAAAGCCTGGGGGGAAGAACTGCTTAGGATCAAGAGGACGAAGATAATGAAAAGTGCCTCACTTGTATATGGTATGGTTGGTGAAGAGTGAAAGCAGGTCAGGTGCAGTGGCTCACGCCTGTAATCACAGCACTTTGGGAGGCCAAGGCAGGCGGATCACCTGAGGTCAGGAGTTCGAGACCAGCCTAACATGGAGAAACCCTGTCGCTACTAAAAATACAAAATTAGCTGGGCGCGGTGGCGCATGCCTGTAATCCCAGCTACTCGGGAGGCTGAGGGAGAATTGCTTGAACCCAGGAGGCGGAGGTTGCGCGAGCGCCATTGCACTCCAACCTGGGCAATAATAGCGAAACTACATCTCAAAGGAAAAAATTAAAAAAAAAAAAGAGTGAATGCAGTACTGAGAAACGAACTCTTGACTTAAAAAACAGGGAGTACTATTATAGCCATGCCATTAGGAGAGAGAATGCAGAGGTCTTCTGGAAAAAAAAAAAAAAAAGACATAGGTGAATGTAGGGGTTTCACCTGTTCACTAGGCAGAAACAGAAATAATATGGGAATAGCTGACCTGTTCTTAACCCTTCACCTCCAAGCTCTACGTGTGAGGAGTCTTCATTTTCCATAGATGAAAAGGTATTCCACGTGTCTGATGTGGAAAGATGCTCTGGAGAAAATGGAACACCGATGGGGAATTTGGGAAACAATAAAATTGTGGAAACAATAAAAAATATATATAAAAGGTCAATTGATTCAATCAATTGATCCAAACAGCCTGGATGCCAGGCTGGCCAGCCCCTGAGTGCTAAGAGAGTGCAGAGCCTGGTCAGGACATGCTGGAAATGATTCATCGGGAAAGCTGGTCCTCTACCTGCAGCTCAGTGCATTTATCTCAACACAACAACCTTATTAGGAAAATCCCCCCCGTCCTCTGCACGGTATCTTGATTTTTATCTAGTGATTCTTCAGGCAAAGACTTTCTTTTAGGGAGATGGTTGATAACATTGGTTCTTTGAAGATATAGTAATTTCTTGAAGAACCATCTGTTTTAGGGGGTAAAAATTTCTTGAAGATTTACATGCATATCTTACGCTGCCTAAAGGAAAAGACTTAGTTGCGAATAGGCACGAGTGAACTAAATGAATGAATGGGACACACACACACAAACACACACACACGATGCATTTATTTATTTTTCCCCCAATGGCTAGAAGTTCTCTATTTCTGAAATGCAAAGAGTATATTTTATCTGTTTATATTTGTGTAGAGACCAGTTCTACCTAGTATGGCCCATAAGCCCTAGCTTAATGTTTTCTTACCTCCTCTTCTGAGTTTTAATCACATTTTCATACCTTTCCCGGCTTTACTTTAGATTACCAAGTGTGACATCAAAGAATTTACTAATTCTCTGTAAAATGATATTAAGTCTATTTCTGTGTGCATTTGGGTGTGAGATTGGTTATGCATAAGGTTCACCTAAATTCCTGACAAGTTCAAAAGGCTACCTAGAGCCTTAAGCTTACTTAAAGTGATGCTATTAATTTTGCATCTTTATTTTTGCTTTTGTTTGATTTTCAAGGTTATTTCAAGGTTGTGGTAAATTGTTACTTTTGTCATAGTGCTTGTAATTCTGCAGGGGGATAAAATATGAAAAAGTAAAAGAAAAATAAATGAGTAAGTTAGGAATACGTAGATAATAATGGTATATTTAGGTGAAGAAAATGTAAGTTGTTGATTTACTTAAAAATCTGTTGAACTTTTATTTGTAATATTAGCACACACAACAAAGGTATACTTTTTATTCTTTTAGTTTTTTTTAGTGTTTAGAAAAAAACTTTCATTACCTTTATGGTTGACAAAGTGTGAATGAGTAATTTAACAATTATAATGGAAATTCAAAAGTTCTAACTAAAAAAAAGTCCAAATATCTAAAGTATCTATAATATCTTACGTGGTTCATAATATAAGAAACAGGACTATAGCCTGACCTCTAGTGTTAACAGAACATAAGTGTGAAGTTCAACAATATTAGACCAAAAAGAAAAAACAGGTTAAAACAAAATATGTAACAATATTTTTTCATAATGAGATAATTCATTTTAGTGAGTTAAACTGCAAGCACAGACACATAAATCCAAAGGGTGTTCAGAGATTATTTAACACTTTTATTTCTTAGAATGGAAATCTGAGGCTGACAGCTATTAGGATCATAGAATTAGTCTGAATGTGTTTACAAAGCTGTGCTTCAGTTTTTCACCTTCTCCATTGGCCATAAACTAGTTTTACAACCGTGGGAAGACAATTTGGGCTTTGAAAAAAAATATGTTTTTTATTTATTTATTTTTTTATTTTTTGAGTCTACATCTCATTCTGGCACCCAGGCTGGAGTGCAGTGGCTTGATCTTGGCTCATCGCAGCCTGGAACTCCTGGGCTCAAGTGATCCTCCGGCCTTAGCCTCCCATGCCTGGCTAAGTTTTTTTTTTTTCCCTATGGATGGGGTCTTGCTCTGTTGCCCAGGCTTGTCTCAATCCCCTGGCATCAAGCAATCCTCCTGCCTTGGACCCCAAATCCCTGGGATTAACAGGTATGAGCTACCATATGCGGTCTTAATTTCGCCTGTTAATTCCTGTCATCACCATCTCCTGAGCACTGCTGCCACTAAGATGTGGATACACTTCTTATCTGTTCTGAAATTGTCAAATTCAAGTCACTCAAACAAATGGTACCACAGAAAGAGCTTGGGGAAAAAATTATTCTTTATTAACTCAGTCCAAATTTAGAGTTGTCTGACTTTTCTTCAGTCAACCAAAACAACCTCTTGTAATTATCTATCCATTTACAAGACATTCCTAAATATAGCTCCTTATAATACAAGAAACTCAAGGGTTTCACTCTTTTTTTCTAGTAGAAAGAAATTGTTTCTTATAGCAGAAGCCTCTGAAGTTTTGCATGGAGTATTTCACCTTGTGAAGTTACCAGCTAGGGGATTAATTTGTATCCACCACTTTACCTGATATATTCTTGGCAGACAAAGAAAAGAGGAATAGTGAATTATTTGCTTACTCTTAAGATCTGGGGTATCCTGTTCTTCTGGTCTCCTTTGTCCTTACACATTATCCTTAATTCCTCAAATCTTCACTCTTAATTTTTTTTCTTATTTACAAAGTTTTTCACTTCTTTTGATCCTGAACTCAGTTTGTAAAAGCTTTTCCAGTGGTG